GCCGTTCAAACTGACTTACGGCGCTGGGATGTTTGGAACTGAGAGCTCCGTGAACCACGTGACCGCGAGTCGGCGAGTTCAAAGAGTGTCGCAGCTCTCTCTCTACAGCTCTGACAGAACCCCGCCCTCCTCTCCCAATGATTGGACAGGAATTCGAGAAACGTGATTGGTAGCTAAGACTCGTGCTCTCATTGGTTCCACCCAAGTTCCTCCCACTGACGCTAGAATCGAGACAAAAAGATCCGTAACTGTAGATTTGAGGGTTGTACCTGTAGAATGAAATGTGTGTTTTGAGAGTTTTGATTTCAAACTTGTACATTGATTTTTTTCAATTTGGAAGTCTGCTAGTTACAAAACGAAAGTTTCATGTATCTGAATGAATGTTTGATGTTACAAAATGAGTAAATGTACAAAATAAAAGTTTGATTTTACAAAATAAAAAATACATGTACAAAATGAAAAATTTCCTGTTACAAAACAAGAAATACAAGTACGAACTGAGAATTACAAGTTAGAAAACTAAAGTTACAAGTTATGAATCCAAAGTTACATGTGATGAAACATGTTCAAAGTTACAAAACTTGGTACAAGTTACGCTGAATATTGTCCCGATCCTAGCTCCATAGATCAGGAGGTTCTGAGAGGATTAGTCACAGAAAGTTCTTACATAAAACTTTATCTGACTTTGAGCTCCAGGCAGAAACTCTTCAGACTTTTATTTATGATCCCAGAGGTTTTAAAAAAATAAAATGCTTTAAACTCCTCCTTGAACCGTCACCTTATCGTGGTGGAGGAGTTTGAGTGCCCTAATGATCCTAGGAGCTATGTTGTCTGGGGCACTTAGTGCCCCTGGTAGGGTCTCCCATGACAAATTGGTCTAGGTGAAGGGTGAGACAAAGAACGGTTCGAAGGATCTTTCATGACGGTTAAAACGAAGAGTCGGAGTACCCGGCCCGGAGGGTTACCGGGGTCCCACCCTGGAGCCAGGCCTGGGGTTGGGGCCCGTGAGCGAGCGCCTGGTGGCCGGGCTTTCGCCCATGGGGCCCGGCCGGGCCCAGCCCGAACCGGATACATGGGCTCGTCCAACTGTGGACCCACCACCCGCAGGAGGAACATGAAGGGTCCGGTGCAATGTGAATCGGGTGGCAGACCAAGGCGGGAGCCTTGGCGGTCCAATCCCCGGACAAGAAAACTAGTTTTTGGGACATGGAACGTCACCTCGCTGGCGGGGAAGGAGCCGGAGCTTGTGGCAGAGGTTAAGCGGTACCGGCTAGATATAGTCGGACTCACCTCGACACATTGCATTGGCTCTGGAACCCGAGACCTGGAGAGGGGTTGGACACTCTACTTTGCTGGAGTTGCTCCGGGTGAGAGGCGGAGGGCTGGGGTTGGCTTTTTGTTAGCCCCGAGACTCTCTGCCTGTGTGTTGGGGTTTACCCCGGGGGACGAGAGGGTAGCTTCCCTGCGCCTTCGGGTCAGGGAATGGGTCCTGACTGTTGTTTGTGCTTATGGGCCAAATATCAGTTCAGAGTACCCACCCTTTTTGGAGTCCCTGGGACGAGTGCTAGATAGTGCTCCATCAGGGGACTCCATTGTCCTGCTGGGGGACTTCAATGCTCACGTGGGCAATGACAGCTTGACCTGGAGGGGTGTGATTGGGAGGAACGGCCCACCTGATCAGAACTCGAGCGGTGTTTTGTTATTGGACTTCTGTGCAAGCCGCAGTTTGGCCATAACGAACACCATGTTCGAACATAAGGATGCCCACCGGTACACTTGGTACCAGGGCAGCCTAGGTCACAGGTCGATGATAGATTTTGTAGTCGTATCATCTGACCTGCGGCCGTATGTTTTGGACACCCGAGTGAAGAGAGGGGCGGAGCTGTCAACTGATCACCACCTGGTGGTGAGTTGGATCAGATGGCAAGGGAACATGCCGCGTAGACCTGGCAGACCCAAACGCATAGTGAGGGTCTGCTGGGAACGCCTGGCAGAAGAACCTGTCAAGACGGTCTTCAACTCCCACCTCCGGCAGAGCTTTGACCACGTCCCGAGAGCAGTGGGGGACATTGAGTCCGAGTGGGCCTTGTTCCACTCTGCGATTGTCGAGGCGGCTGTTGCTAGCTGTGGTCGTAAGGTGGCCGGTGCCAGTCGTGGTGGCAACCCCCGTACCCGCTGGTGGACACCAGAGGTTCGGGGAGCCGTCAGGCTGAAGAAGGAGGCCTACAGGGCGTGGCTGGTCTGTGGGTCTCCGGAGGCAGCAGACAGGTACCGGATAGCCAAGCGGGGTGCAGCAGTGGCAGTTGCCGAGGCAAAATCTCGGGCGTGGGAGGAGTTTGGTGAGGCCATGGAGAAAGACTATCGATCGGCTCCAAAGAGGTTCTGGCAAACTGTCCGGCGCCTCAGGAGAGGAAGGCAGCAACTCGCTCACACTGTTTACAGTGGGGATGGGGAGCTGCTGACGTCAACTGAGGCTATAGTCGGACGGTGGAAGGAATACTTTGAGGAGCTCCTCAATCCCACCAATGCGCATTCCGAGGAGGAACCAGAGCTGGGAGGCCTGGGGATGGACTGTCCGATCTCGGGGGCAGAAGTTGCTGAGGTAGTCAAACAACGACACAGCGGCGGAGCCCCGGGGGCGGATGAGGTTCGTCCTGGGTATCTCAAGGCTATGGATGTTGTAGGGCTTTCATGGTTGACACGTCTCTACAACATTGCGTGGTCATCGGGGGCAGTTCCTAGGGAGTGGCAGACCGGGGTGGTGGTCCCCATCTTTAAGAAGGGTGACCTGAGGGTGTGTTCCAACTATAGGGGGATCACACTCCTCAGCCTCCCTGGAAAGGTCTACTCCAAGGTACTGGAGAGGAGGGTCCGATCGATAGTTGAATCTCAGATAGAGGAGGAGCAATGTGGTTTTCGTCCTGGCCGTGGAACTGTGGACCAGCTCTATACCCTTGCAAGGGTGATGGAGGGGGCATGGGAGTTTGCCCAACCAATCCACATGTGCTTTGTGGATTTGGAGAAGGCTTATGACCGTGTCCCCAGGGGCACCCTGTGGGGGACGCTCCAGGAGTATGGGGTGGGTGGCTTTCTGTTAAGGGCCATTCAGTCCCTTTACCAGAGGAGCGTGAGTTTGGTCCGCATAGCCGGTAGTAAGTCGGACCTGTTCCCAGTGAGGGTTGGACTCCGCCAGGGCTGCCCTTTGTCACCGGTTCTGTTCATCACTTTTATGGACAGAATTTCTAGACGCAGCCGTGGTGTGGAGTGTGTCGAGTTTGGTGGCAGGAGAATCTCGTCTCTGCTTTTTGCGGATGATGTGGTCCTCCTAGCTTCATCCAGCTCTGACCTTCAGCTCTTGCTGGGTAGGTTCGCGGCCGAATGTGAAGCGGCTGGGATGAGGATCAGCACCTCCAAATCTGAGACCATGGTTCTCGACCGGAAAAGGGTGGCTTGCCACCTCCGGGTCGGGGGAGAGGTCCTACCTCAAGTGGAGGAGTTTAAGTATCTCGGGGTCTTGTTCACGAGTGAGGGTAGGAGGGATCGGGAGATCGACAGGCGGATTGGTTCGGCGTCTGCAGTGATGCGGACGCTGAGCCGATCTGTCGTGGGGAAGAGGGAGCTGAGCCAGAAAGCCAGGCTCTCGATTTACCGGTCGATCTACGTCCCAATCCTCACCTATGGTCATGAGCTTTGGGTAATGACCGAAAGAACGAGATCGCGGATACAAGCGGCCGAAATGAGTTTCCTCCGTAGGGTGGCCGGGCTCAGCCTTAGAGATAGGGTGAGGAGCTCGGACATTCGGGAGGGACTCGGAGTAGAACCGCTGCTCCTCCGGATCGAAAGGAGCCAGTTGAGGTGGTTTGGGCATCTGGTCAGGATGCCTCCTGGACGCCTCCCCGGGGAGGTGTTTCGGGCATGTCCTGCCGGCAGAAGGCCCCCGGGTCGACCCAGGACACGTTGGAGAGGTTACATCTCCAATCTGGTCCGGGAACGCCTTGGGGTCCTGCCGGAGGAGCTGGTGGACAAGGCCGGGGAGAGGACGGCCTGGAGCTCCCTAGTTGGGATGCTGCCCCCGCGACCCGGACCCGGATAAGCGGAGGAAGACGAGACGAGACGAGAAAATGCTTTAAACAGGGCTAGAGTTCATTTGAGTCTCGTCTGATTCTGGTTTAGTTTAATAAATCATAATAGATTCAGTAAATGAATGAAGAACCCAGTGGTTCTGGGAGGAACCCTGCCGCTGCTCCAGAGCTTTAAGGAGCTTAGGAAGGACCTAGACCTGTTTGGTTTCAGGGAAAGTTAAGCTTTTTATTTCTAAAGACCAAAAATAATCAAAACAACACAAGAACAAGGAAAATAGCAGACAGAAAAGGAAAGGTTAGAAAACACAAAACTAAATTTGATTTTATATATTCAGCTAATTTACTTCATCAAACAGCAAATAAAGAGAAGAAATCATGAAAGAAGAAGAAAATATCATTTCTATATTGCCTCTCAAGACAAAAATCACGAGGTGCTTCACAAAAACAAAAAATATAAAAAAGCATTCAGAAAATGTTTAAAAATATATTTAAAATGAGCAAAAAATAGACAAGAAGGGAGATCAGTGGATCCTGAGGAAGGTGGGGTAGGTGGGGAGAGCAGAACAGGAGAGGGTGATGAAGGACACACAAAGCCAGCCTGAACAAGTGAAATAGTGAAATAACTGATGAGCCTCCATACAGAATATCTGTTTATTGGTTTAATCAGTTCAGAGTTGCTGAGATATAAAAGGATTTTATGCTGAAATGAAAACAAATGAAACGGGTTTGTTTTGTCTGTAAATCAGGAGCATAAACAGGATCAGTCCTTTCATTTCGCTTTACTACCCATTCAGAACAAACCCCATTCAGAAAAATTATTTGAGATTTTAAAGTAAAAATAATGTATTATAACATTTATTTGCCTTTAAATTTGGATTTGACCTGCTATCAAATGAGGAAATAAAAAATTTTTGCTCTATTTTCTTCCTTTTTTAACAACTTTTAAAAACATTTTAAGACAAAACAAACTTTTTTTCTCATTTAACTAAAACATATTTAAATTAGCGCCCAAAACTCCTGACTCAGTCCAGAACCTCTGACCCAGGAGGTGGACCCACGGTGGACTGGGTCAGAACCTCTGACCCAGACCAGAACCTCTGACCCAGTCCTCATCTCTTTCTTCCCACCCTCCTGTTCCTGGTCTTTAATTCACTCGAACCTGATTTAAGGTAGAAATTGACTCCTAACTCAAGGGATGATCCAGAACCAACCATGTTTTTATCATTTTAAGTGTCGCCGATTTCTCTGTTAATAGGAACGTTTAACAGAGGAAAGCTGCTGTTTCCGTCGGACCTTTTTAAAGGCGGACACAACAAACTCCCTCCTTTCTCTTCTCTTTAAGTTTAGATTAAAGTTTTTAAAGTCAATATGAAGTTTCGGGGGAAAATCATCGACGTCGCCTGTTTAAACCACTTTAGTCGTGAGTTTTTATAAACGTTTGTCTGGCGGTGCTAACGTGTTAGTAGCTTATGTTAGCCTAACGTGTTAGCTTAACATGTTAGCTCGCTTTCTGTTTTGGTGTTGAGTTCGAATTAAATTATTTGTTATAAAAGCAGTGAATGAAAACCCGTTTATCTTTAAATAAAACATGTTCAGAGTCAGAGAAAACTTTACTATTTAGTCTGAGACGCATTACAGTCGGTCAGTAGTTTTAAAACGTGTTTGTGTCTCCAGGAGTGATCACCACCATCTCTAAGCTGACCAAGACGTGCGTCATGCGGCTGACGCCAGACAACCTGTTCTTTGTTCTGTCCGGTAAAGTGACCAACGGGGGGGTCAGCATGTGGTGTGAGCTGCATCAGGTGAGCTCAGGTGGCTCCTTTAGCCCGGGGGGGGGGGGGGGGGGGGGGACCAGAACAACAAGACAGCTGTCGGTCTGACATCATGAATGCATCACAGGTGTTGGTAAAGCTGCGGCCCGCGGGCCTTTAGTGGTCCTCCACTTTAGTTCCAGAAGTGTGTTCTTAGTATTCCTCGTGTTTTATTAGCTTTTATTGATCGGTATTGTTATGGTCTGTTGTTGTTGTTGTTTGATTGGTCGTGTTTTAGTCCAGCCTGCGCGGCGCTTTGGGCGGCTCTCGTGTTGTGTTTTAAATGTGCTTTATAAATAAAGTTTCGTACGGTGAGAACATCAGAAAATGTTGAGCTTGACCCAAAGTCAATGGCGCTTTTCCTGGTAACTGAGAACACAAACGCATCACGAGTCAGAACCAGGGGCCTGATGGTACCAGAACATACTGGTATGAGGTCCAGGCCGTGACCGGGCTAATGCCAAGTGCTTCCTCCCTCCAGGCCAACTTCTTCGATGAGTTCCAGATGGAGGGCGTGTCCTCGGAGTTTAATGAGATCTGCTTGGAGGTGACGCCAGAAAACCTGTCCAGAGCCCTGAAGACGGTCCAGAACGCCAAGTCGGTCAAAGTCAAGCTGACCAAGAAGCACTGTCCCTGTCTGACTGTCGCCGCCGAGCTGGTGAGACAGGCCGAGGACCACGGACTCTGGTTCTGCTGCGCTGGCTCCATAAATGTTCTGATTCTCATATAAATCATCTCCAGAATGTTGAAGGTTCTGGTTTAGAGGTTCAGATGCAGCATACTGGTTCTGAGTTAGTCTAATCGGGCTCAGTTCATGACCCTGATCTCCCTCTGACCCGTCCAGCCCTCCCTGTCCAGCAACAGTCGGGTCGTTACCCACGACGTTCCGGTTGAAGTCGTTCCCCGGAGTCTCTGGCACGAGTTTAAAGAACCAAGCATGCCGGACTTCGACGTGAGCTTGATTTGAATCTTTGTTAAAGTTTTGGGTTCCTGAAGCGGGCCCGTCTCACTGCTTGTCTCTGCAGGTGAGCATCTACCTGCCGCCTCTGAAGACCATGAAGAACGTCGTCGACAGGATGAAGAACCTCTCCAACTTCCTGGTAGGATCAGTTCCCAGATGAGGAACTTTAACGGCCACCAGGTGGCGCTGTTGGGCCAGAACCCGTCAGTTCTGCAGCGATTTAAGAATATAATCTTTCATTCAGTTAACACTCAACAAAGGTGAAGATGTTTGAGTCAGCCAACAGAGAAACTGATCTGCAGCCTACGAGTAATTCTGTCAATGAGACTCGTTAGTTTAACTAGTTCCTGGTTAAAAATCCGAGTTAAACGTCCTGAAAGCCACATCAGGAGAGCTTAAGCTGCCGGTTTGATGCAGATTAACGTTTAACTCCAGGTGATGGAGGCCAATCTGAGCGGAGAGATGAACCTGAAGATCGAGACCGACCTGGTTTCTGTCACCACTCACTTCAAAGACCTGGGGAACCCTTCATGGGGTAAAACATCTGGACCCATCCGCCTGCCGGTTCCTCAGATTAACCCCAACGTGGTGGAGGTCACCAGAATGACTCCTCATGTCTCCACAGGAGACGCCGCGTCGCAGGATGGCGGCGCGTCTCAGAGCAGGGACCCAGAGGCCATGGCGGAGGTCCGGGTGGACATCAGGAAGCTGCAGCAGTTCCTCGTGGGTCAGCAGGTCAACCCCAGCAAAGCCATGTGCAGTGAGTTGAGTCTTAAAGCAGTTAGAGCCAGAGGAGACCCCGCCCGGTGCTCCTTACAGGACTGATCAGATCCTAGCGAACCCAGCATGTGATCATGTCTAAAACCAGATTATTTCTGACTAGAAACTCAGATTACAGAAGCGTGTGATAATCTGAGTTCAGGTTTCTGGTCTCCTCAGACATCGTCCATCAGAGCGTGGTCCACCTGATCCTGCTGCACGATGACGTCTCTCTGCAGTATTTCATTCCTGCTGTGGCCTGAAGCTCCTGCAGGCTTCTGTGGAGTTTCAGTTGGGAGACAAAAACCGGCTGGAACCGGTTTCTCTGAGCTGGTCCTGTTGGTGACGTGAAGAGCCAATCAGCAGACAGGAATGGCTCTCCGTGGGTTTTCTGTGTTTAATAGTAATTCCGATTCCTGCCGAGATGACGGGAAAACTCACATTTACACGAGTTTGTTGGATCAACGTCTGATTAAATAAAACTTGTTTACAGTTTTGTGTTTTTATTACATTTATTTTTATTTTAGAGCTAAATCAGAATTCTGATGATTAATGTTTTTATCACTAAACTAAACAGGAAGTTATAAACTAGAACTTTCAACAACTCCATTACCCATGAGCCTCTGGGAGCAGCAGGTCACATGACTGAGCCCAGTTTCAGCCATCAGAAAAATCAAAGGTGATCAAACACGACTAAATGAATTCCCAGCATTCCTTAAAGGAATTCTTTCTGCTTCCATGTGGGAGTTTTGGAGTTTGTTGTGTTTCCATCAGATGTTACATCATCAGGTGATGTCATCAGGTGTTCAGTGGGTGACCTGTGGTCATTTCTACTAAACGATCCTTGGATGGGAGGAAAAGCAGGATTTAAGGTGCGGTTCCTCCAGGTATTCCTGGTTTGACTCGGTCTGGAAGTTCTGGTTGTGTGTTAGCTGTCCAGAACCACGGCTGGAGGAGAAGGCATGAAGTCCAGAAGATGATTGTTGAACAATGACAGTAAATGTCAGAGGGGTAGGGTTAACCTGTGGGGGCAGATCTGTCCTCGGTCGACATCTTCAGTTGATTTGTTGTTTTGTTTTGGTTTATCAGCTTTGTTTGTTTTGTCTGCTCGTCGTGTGCCGCCCTTTTGCCTTGAAGATGAAGTTTGGCGCCGACAGGCTGTGATGGATTAGATTGTACAGTAACATCTGTCTGCAGGTGTCTCCAGGCAGCAGCTGCTGGAGCATCCACACCACCACCACCCTGCAGCAGGTGTGTTGTTGTTCCTAATGAACGCTGCGGCCTCGTCAATAATTACAGTAAATGTAGGAATCAGATCAATTGTGTTTGTAAAATGAAGCAGGACACAACCAGCCAAATGCAGCGGTGTGACGGTTGGGATGTGCTCTATGCTACGAGTCAGTCAGCAGCATCAGCACCACCCCATCTCTGAAGGTCAGCCTGCAGCAGGTGAGCTCTGTAATAACCTGTTCCTCAGGTGTGTCCTGTTATTTCTACATCACTGATGATTAACATCCATGTTTGCACGTGTGTTTGATTAGCTTCCAGCTGAAGGGACAGACAGCATCAGCTCAGCCGCCTGAGGACGCCCACACCCGTCAACACATCCTGAAGCTCGTGACGAGTCTCCCAAGGCTCCTCTAGACCTGCTGACTGACTCACCTGGCTGGTAAGATGCAGGTGGAGCTAGTCCACAGGGGCTCCATCAGCTAACATCAGAGAAGCTGGATGAAGTGTCCCCTGACATGTCGGTGGCCCTGGTTGCTGCCATAATGCCAGTGCTGGTGCTGGTTCTGTCACCCAGTTCATTGTACCTTTGGATCACCATGATGCCAGAGACAGCTGCTGCTGCAGGGGGGGGCGGGCGGGGGCCACAAACCGCGGGCCGGGACTTCAGATCAGATCTCGCTCCAGAGCCTCGTGTGACTCCTGCTTGTTCAGACCTTCGTCTTCGTAAAGATTCTTCTGGGGCACATATTCATCTTCCTCATCCAGAGATGAGAAGTCCTGTGAGGTAATCAGAAGAACAACCAGCAGAAACCAGCAGCAGGACCTTTTAACTGGAGTTAGACAGATTATTTACAGCTCAGTAAAACAATCAAACACGAGTTAAATGATCACATCAACAGAAGCGTCCGCCCAGGTTCTGCTTCTTCATCAGTTTGTGTTAAAAACGGGAATCAGAACTCCTCCGTGGCTTTAGGAGGACAGGAAATGATGCGTGAAAGTGTTTACTAATGTCTCCTTCTCCGGTCTTCCTCTCCTATCACATCCTTTTGGAGCAGAGGGCTGAACTGGTTCACGTGGGAGTGATCAGGTATCTATTCTATTATTCTATTCTATTCTATTCTATACTGTTTTAGTTGAAGCTGCAGTTTCACCTCTTCACCAGCTGGGGGAGCTGATGTTCCACACGACACTCCCCTACAGGAACCACTTCACAGTTTGTAGTTTTATAAATTATTTACAAATAAACAACAAAACATCTCCAGTGTAGAGCAGCTGTAAACAACAAACGTCTCAAAGCTCAGCTGGTTTTTCTATAGAGGCCCAAAATTCACAATCATGACTGTTTCTTTAGAACGGGTTTAAAAATCAACATTTTAAACGCGGATCTCTTAATTATGACCCAGTTATAACGCACCATGTGATCGCTCTTTTATGAGCTTCTGCATTTCCAGAGATCTCCTTTCTGCTTCTTCTGTTGTTTTTGTTATCTCGGTCACTGATCATCGTTAAAAGCTCATTTCTATCAAGTTTAAATGAGCTCAGGTCATTAAATGTGAAGAAGGATGAAGTCCAGAGGAACCATCCTAGTCCAGGATGAAACCAGGGTCTGATCCAGGATCTGGATTCATCTTTGGACCCACGTCTCAAACATTTTCTCACGAAAGGAAAATTCCAGCTGAGGGAATGTTGTAACTGAAGTGATGCTTCAGTCAGTGCTCTGTTTAAGGACGGAGTTTCCTGAGAAAACTACATCAAAGTTCAGCTGTCTGAGCGCTGCTGCCCCCTAGCGGAGGGGTGCGTGCAGCGCAGCACCCAGACCCAGGTACTCCAGGTTCTCTGCAGCAGGGAGGAACACGCCGTCCCCTGTTAGAGCCTCAGAAGTGCTGCTGGTCAGAGACAGGAAATTGGCCTTGTAGTCTGGACTACGGAGGCTGTCGCCATCCTCCGGGGGTAGCGAGCTCTGGGTCATGTTTAGGTACTCCGGTCCAGAAAACGACTTGGTGGCCCAGGACTGGTTCAGGTCCTCGTAGTTGGGATTAAAGACCTCTGATAGCCTGCTGCTGCTGCGTCTGGTTTCACTCACGCTCTGGTTCGTGTAGTCTGGGAGAAAGCAGGAAACATATCAGGAATAACTCTGGCAGTGATGATCATTCAGGTCTGGTCTGAACCAGTACCGTGTCCGGTGACGCCTCCTGCAACCAGTGCTCCGCGGGTGGGATCAGCGTTGTAACGCAGAGTCATGCTGTTCTCTCTGATCGGACGGCCGACCTGACATGAACAGATAAATAAATAATTATCTGTGTTTAAACAGCTGATCAACCAGTGATGGGACGTCTTCCGCCCCCTGGTGGCCGGCAGAGGTACAGCAGGTCATCCCAGAACAGTCGTAACCATCAGACGAAACCAGAACTATGACTTTAAAAATCAGACTTTGTGTTTTAAAATGATGACTTTTTTAAACTAATTAGGACTCAGAAACTCAGAATTATGAAAAGTCTCCGGATCATATTTATGTATTTTATATTACTTAGTATAACTTTGACTTAGAACAACAGAATCATGTGTTTCAAACTTTTACTTCATGATACCAGAAAATTAGAATCGTTGCTTTAACTCCACAGTTATTGTGTTTTACATCATGACTAAAGACAGGAAAACTCCTGACTCATTAAATCATTTTTATTGATTGTAAATTTGACGGGTAACCTATGACTGACTTTAAAAGTGACCCTTCTGGGTCTCCGTACCAGAGTCAAACAGTCATAATTACTGCCTTTAGAATGAAAACTGGTGCTAAACTCTTTGTGCACGTCGCCTCTTGCGTGTGTTTTTACCATGGTGTTGCAGGGGTGGTTGCCATGGTTACTCTGGCCTTTGTACGGCTGCAGGTATTCCTCTGCATCGACCACGTCGTCCAGGTCGTCTGAGCTCAGCAGGCGAGAGTAAAACCGTCTGTCGGACGGACTCGGCAGGTCACCCTGAGACACAAGTCCGTTGTTGTTTACATTTAACTGGAACATTCATCAGATTTTCACCACAGCACCGTCGGATCAGACCAGTGGCACACCTGTATGACCAGGTATCTGGACGGGTCACGAGCCATCTGAGAGAACTCTGCCACCAGCTCTCTGAAGCGAGGCCGGCTGGCCGGGTCGATCATCCAACCTGCAGGAAGACAAAGGTCAGAAGAGCTGATCTTCCACACCGAGGTCAGAGTCCAGATCCAGAACGGAGTCCCCTTACATTTCACCATGATCATGTAGACGTCGATGGTGCAGATGGGAGGCTGAGGCAGCCGCTCTCCTCTCTCCAGCACCGAGGAGACGTCTCTGGCCTGGATGGTGTCGTACGGTTTAGAGCCGAAGGTCATCAGCTCCCACACCGTCACACCTGTAGGGCACGGAGGCTTAGAGCTGACTAACACACACCTGCTGCAGCTGCACAGCCTCCACAGACATCATCGCTCCCACATAAGTGTGTATCTATTCATCATTTATGAATTAGTTATTTATGACGGTTACTGGGAATCCTTCAGCAGAAGTTTACGTTTAAACCAAATCATCTCAGATTAGTCTGTATCAGAGACACGTAACAAAATAACTTCGTGTTTTTGTTTTTTATTCTTGATATTTTCTACGTAAGAATGGCAGAACATGTGGGGTCTTGTCCGGGATCTCTCATCTCATTTTAAGGACTCTCCCTTGGTTTTGAGGATTGGGTTGAGGACACGTTTTTATGGATCAGGTTTTGATCAGACGTGTTTTTGGAGTTTGTTCCGGGTTTGTTCGGAACCGTTTTAACGTGAAGTGCTTCGGGTCGCCTCGGGTTGTGGTGAATAAAGAATGATGATGATGATGAAAACCTTCAGTTGGAGTAAAACTTCCCATTTTAAAGCAACTGAACTTGTTTTTTCTCCAGAACCAGTGAATTAAAATTCCGTCGTTGCTCATTCCTGTTTCCTGATTGGCTGATGCGATTTCTAAGGCAACAAACAGGAAATGAAAAGCGTTTGGTGTGACGCCGCCTCACCGTAGCTCCAGACGTCGCTCTGATGGGTGAAGGTGAACTGGAGGATCGACTCTAACGCCATCCACTTGATGGGAACCTGCAGAGAGGAAAAGTCCAAACATCCAAAAGAACCACAAGAACCGGGTCGCTTCAAGAACCTGAGCTTGGTAAATGCACGAGTTTCCTGGTGACCTCATGTCCTCTGGTGAGTTTATCTTTAATTTGTGCTGCATGTAAAGCTCCTCCAGACGGGTCTAAACCCGTGTTCCGACTCCTTCAGAACCACGTGAAGCTCCGGACTGGACACCCACCTTCCCTCCATCGGCGTGGTACTCCGTCTCGTTGGCCGTCAGCAGCTTGGCGAGGCCGAAGTCGGTGATCTTGACATGATTTGGATTTTTTAACAGGACGTTCCTCGCTGCCAGGTCTCGGTGCACCAGGTGACGCTCCTCCAGGTAGCTCATCCCCTGAGCAGAAACAGGAAACACCTTTTAACCACAGAAATGATCCCCTAACTCCAGGAGCTCTTCTGCATCCATGCAGCTCATTTCACACCAAGTCTGTGGCCTCATTTTTGATTTTCCCATCATTTTAACTTCCAAACAGGATTTTTAATTGACCAAGGGGATTAGGAGTATCCATCAGCGTTCCTGCTAACGAGCCGCTGCAGGCTTACAGGAAGCCGTGGACAGAAGCAGCGCCTCGGGCGCGGACTTAAAGGCTCACCTTGGCGATCTGAACACACCAGTTCAGGAGCCACTGACCACAGATGGTCTCCTGGTGGTGTCGGACGTAATCCAGCAAACAGCCGTAGGGCATCAGCTGAGTGACGAGCTGCACCGACGACGTCAGGCAGATTCCCAATAGACGGCACACATGAGGATGATCCACGCTCGCCATCACGTAGGCCTCCTGCTCGATGCAAGCATCAGGGTCACAAACACACGTCTGGTTAATGCCACGGGTCAGAAACATCTCCACCCAGGACCTCCTCCGTCCAGAGACAGGTCAGGAATAAACCAATCAGAGGAGAAGCTGAGAAGATCCTTACATCCAGGACTTCCTGGTTGGCTTTGGGGGACGTGGCCTCTCTGAGGACCTTGATGGCCACGGGGATCCTCACATTCTCATCTTCAGGAAACCACAAACCCTAAAAGACGACACACCATGGGATGATTTTTCCCTGATGAATCATGGAGAACACCGCTGAACACATCCAGCCCTGGAGCTCTTCTACCTTATAGACGGTTCCGAAGGCTCCGGATCCGAGCACCCGGTCCTTCTTCAGCTCCGTCTCCTTCAGGATCCTCAGGTGAGCCTGATTAGGAGCCTGACCGCTCGGAATCAGCGGCTCCAGCTGAGTTTAAACCCAAACAGAATCGAAAGAACATTGTGATGATTCCCAGACGTTCCAAGTTCACCGGGAACGTTTTAGGGAATAATGACGGAGCTGACGCGTCCGCTGCTGCTCATGTAAAAAGATCTTCACACACACGTTTAACATCTCCGTAAACACCTGAAGAAGGAAACCTGTAGACTTCCTCCAGCTGATCCAGCAGCTCCAGGCTGGAAAACTATCCCAGAATTCAACCACACGTCATCAGATTAAATCTGTGCTTTCACCTTCTTCTCCTGCAGCAGGCGGCGGATCGTCCTCTTTTGCTTGATTCGCCGTCGCCGTAGCAACACAACGATGAGCAGCAATACGAGGACGGCCACCAGGAGTCCTCCGACCACGCCGACCGCCAGCGTGGAGTTGGTCGTAGTGCTGTCGGCACGAACAGGGAGGGATTAAAGTTGGGAATTCTGACAGAAATCCATTAAATTCATCCAAAACTTTTCCTGATTTATTCCTAATTTCACCTTTAAGTGACATTAAAGCATCTTAATGATTAACCCAGAAGCAGGAAAGCAGGTTTCCATAGCACTGCTCCATAAATCATCCGGATCATTTAAACAATCTGAGTTCATCCTGCCGCTGAACTGAGTTTTCACTTCGACGCGACTGGAGGAGACGGAAACCGGCAGAGCGGCTCTCCTGCTCACTCGGGTCGTTTTCCTGCAGGAATAAAAACGAAGCGAGCGCTCTTACCCTCTGCATCCGGACAAGCCAGGACCCGAACATCTGCAGCAACAGAACAGAACAACCATGAAACTGGTGACGGTGTCTCCTGAGCCGGACCGGCTCGGGAACTCACCCCTCGGTGCAGTTCTGGTGGCAAAGCTGGCAGTGGCCCGTCTCATCGGCGTATTTCCAGATCAGCGTGTCTCCGTCTCCAAGGACGCCGTGTGGGCAGCGCGCCACGCACTGGTGGCCATCTTTAAAGTGGGCACACTGGGAACAGTTACCCGGACCCTGCAGACAGGAGCGTCATTAAGCCTCGTGTTACTGATTCATGTGAATTTATTCTCTTCAGTCGTTCCTCTAAATCTGGATCCCGTCCGGAAAGCACAGAGGGAATCATGCTTGAGCTGCCCAGGAGCTCTCTGGAGCAGGAGACTGGGAGTGAGAGGGAACTACAGGTGGTCTCAGGTGTGTGGACTCACTGGACCGCGGCAGGTGGGGCCCTCGCTCATCATCAGACACTCAGAGTGGCACTCCACACAGCTGCTGTTCACCTCCACCTCTCTGGGCTCGCTGCAGAAACAAACAGGTCAGACTTCTGGGCAGCACCAACCGGGCCCTCCTGCTGCTGCCGTGCAGCCGTCTCACCCGTGCAGCAGGTTACACTGAGCCACACAGCGCCCCCTGCGGTTGAAATGCAGACATGACACACACATGTCGGGCCCCGGGCCCCAGCAGCCGTCCTCTGAACACTGGTGGTGACAGGTCTGGTTACAGGCCTGGTTCTGCTGGGCTGTGGGAGACATGAAGCAGTTTTATCCCTCTGATGGTTTAACTTCAGCTCCAGACTGGTCCCATCACGCAGGACTCACGGCACGTGCTCCTGGATGTCGTGTTGGTCTGGGCTTTGGATCTGAAGAGCCGGGTCCAGTTCACAGTCTGGATGAAGCACAGCGAGCAGTTTTTTTTCACCATCACATTGGAGGCGCTGATCTCCTTCAGAGAGCGTAGACCGAGCCACCGCAGATGGTTCACGTTCACCACCACCAAACTGTACTGGCTGAGAGGAGAAGAGCAGATGGGGGTCAGACAACCTGAAGGCTCCAGCAGGTCCATCTGAACCTGAAGGCACCAGCAGGTCCATCTGAACCTGAAGGCACCAGCAGGTCCATCTGAACCTGAAGGCACCAGCAGGTCCAGCCTGATCAGTAGCTGTTAGGGTTAGGTTCTACCACAACTCCACCATCTTCATATGGATGAGCGACAGAGGCCATCTTTGTAAAGGTAATAAATGACCTGAAGGAGGAGGTCTGTGGTTCCAACTCTCCCACAATGTCTAAAAGTGACCCAATGGTGGAACCTTCTAGAAACACCACGGAGAACCTTCAGGGCTGTTTTCTGGCCCGCCTCTAGGGGGCACCATAACAGCGGCCCTTCACAGGAAGTTTGAAAATGTGAGTAACTCATGATCAGATATTTGTGGAAAAGAAACTGACTTTTGGTACGCTGCTCTTCCTCTGATGGCTTCCAGGTTCTCAAACACGGACAGAGACCTGCTGTCTTCAGGCCAGGCGGTGATCATCAGGTAACCTGCGCGACAAAAACACCTGTCTGCACCTGGAGCGTAGAGTCGGTCGTGTTTCACAGCAACACTCACAAATGATCGCACCTGTGATTTCCTTCACTGTCCTCAAGTTCTCCAGCTTCTCCGGCTCCATGGGTGGGATGTTGTAATGAGGATCCCTGCAACAGCCAATCAGAACAACCTTTACCTTCTAAACGTAAACGCCCCTGAACCGCTCCACCTGGAGACCCGCCGCCACACAGCGTTCAGCGCAGCGACGTGCTCCTTGTTCGTTTCAGATGAAACCCCAGAGCTCCTCACCCGGTGAAGGAATGCTGGCTGAGTATGATGTTCCCGTTGACGCTGGTGCAGTTCCTGAACGAGTCGATGTTGGTGGAGTTGACGGCCATGGTGTTGCTCAGAGAGCCCATTCCGATTCCATCACAGGCTGCAGGAAGATCAGGAGCTGCTCAGCCCTTCAGCCCAGCTCTTACATTTGTGATTGTGTCTGTGGTGCTCTACCTTTGGGACAAGGTCCTTCACATGGTTTACAGATGTGGACTCCATTCTCCTGCACCTCTTTGGTTCCCGCACTGCAGGAGCGGACGCACGAACCCTCCGTCACCACGTAGTTATCTGCAAACAACCGACAAACGTTCACGCTTCGGCAGAGACCAGAAAACACCCGCTGAGACGGCTCCCAGCTTCTGCTGAAGAGGAGAGCAGACTCACACAAAACACACCCCAGCTAGCCGTTAGCGTATCAGTCCTGAGGGTTGTCTTTCTCTGACCAGAGGCTGTTCATGAAGCAGCGAGGTGGTTATTTATGAATTTTTATCAGGATGGAGGAAAGCTTCAGCATCGTCATCACTTTCTACACCTGCTCAGAACACTTTAGCCCTGCAGGAACCATCGTTCACCTTTAACCCAGAGTTCCAGGTAAACAAACACCTGACCCCGACCACATGATGCTCACCACTAGGCTCCCAGCCCTCGTGTTTCTTCTGTTTACCACTAGGGGGAGCTCCTCCACCAACAGTGGGATTATTTCAACAGAAAATCCCCCATAATTCCTAGAGGCTCTCCTACAGGCCAGCAGGGGGCAGTGTTGTGGTCTGAACAACCTGACCAGGACCAGACGGGTTAATGAGCAGTTAGCGAGCGCTTACAGGGGCAGGCCTTCACACACGTGGCTCCGTAGGCGTACTTGACCTTCGGGTTCATGACCTCCTGCTGGATAAGGCGGTCGTAGATTTTTGGAGGGGGACAAGCGTCAATGCACGTCCCATCATCGTTGAAATCCCTGCAGGCCTGCAGAGGAAACAAAGAAAACCATCAAACCTTCAAAGTAAAATAAAATAAAGGGACATATTAAGTTATAACAGTTTAATGGTAAATAAAGGTAAATAGCCTGTATTTGTATAGCGCCTTGTTAGGGTTCTGCAACCCCCCAAGGCTCGTCACAACACAATCAGTCATTCACATCCTGGTGATGATGAGCTACGATGTAGCCACAGCTGCTCTGGGGGCTCTGAGAGGCGAGGCTGCCGAGCACAGGCGCCACCGGTCCCTCCGACCATCACCAGCAGGCACGGGGGTTCTTGCCCAAGGGCACAACAGCAAGATTCTCTGGTCTGAGCTGGGAATGAACCTACAACCTTCTGATAATAGGACAACCTGCTCTACCTCCTGAGCTGCTGCTGTTAATGGCTGATACCAAACATGCTGACGAGCTTTGGAGCAGGAAGTTCCTGTCACATGAAGTGACTCAGCAGTTTTAGTTGCGGCCGTTTCAGCATCTCACAGAATCAGCTGTTTTAGGACTGTCGCTTTAAGATAACCAGCTGCTGCTGGCCACGCCCACCCACCCCGATCAGGCTGCTATAGGCCGAAAAGCTCCGATGTCTGGGAGGGGCTCAAAGTAGAGCCGCTGCACTCGTGCACATGAGAGGTGGTTCTATTCTAATGTAACTTTGTGACATCACAAACTGGGACTTTTTGAATCACCTTGTTTGACAAATACTGACAAAAACTGATGGATGTTTTTTACACATCTGGAGTGTTTCTCGAGGCCGTAGAGACGCACACGCAGCTCAGAAGGATGCTCCTATGTTCCTTTTATCAACCACCACCGAGGAGACAGGCAGCAGGGTCACGGTTAGAGCGAGCAGCAGCACGACACTAACCAGGCACTGGGTGGCGCTGGGCCCGGTGCAGCCTGCAGCACAGTGTTGGTTGCAGCAGTCGACGGGTTTGGGTCCGTGACACCTGGCGCTGCACTGCTCCGCACACACCAGCTTAGTGACTGGGGGGTAGAAAGAGAGAGAAGGAGCTTCTGCTGAATCACTGATGAAACTGAAGGATCCTCCTTAGAAAACAGGAAGAGGTTTACATTTTTGGCAGTGATCCGGTCCGGCGGCCCAACAGGAACCGTTAACACACCTGGAGTCGCACCTGTCGCCTGAAAACACACACAGGTTCATTCATTCATTCCTGACAGGAAGCTGAATCAAACCAACCAAACGGCTGCTGCTCTGCTCGGCCTACACTGCCGTGTGGAGATATCCGCCTCCTGGTGAATGCTGGAATGACTGGATTTATCCACGATGTCGGACCACTGGATGGTGTCCATGTTGCACAGCAGGGGGTTCAGGGTCACCTTCACTCCTCCGCTCAGAATCTCTGAGAGGAAATAAGAGCGTTTAACCCTGATCCAGGCTCCCAGAGCAGCTGTTGATCATATTTATTTGTTTGTTCGTCAGAGAAATGTCTAAAACATCGTTTTTATCTGAAAAACAAACTCTTAGCATCCTTTACACACGTTTACTTATTTATTTTATTACAAACAAAGTTCCATGTCGAATATTTTAGGATGAACATGGAAGCAAATGTGTCTGAATGTGTGTAAATAAGGAAAATGATGCTTTTAATAGAAGAGATCAAACTTTGAGTTTTACTTTAAAATGTGAATAAATTATTAAATAAATAAGTTTTACACTCAATTTGTAAACAAACAAACAAAAACACTAAACTAGTTAAACCATCACCAACCCACACACACACACACACACACAGCCCTTCACAGGCGCCGCCCATCCCTCGGACCACCAGCAGCAAGTAAAGTGCCTTGCTCAAGGACACAGCAACTGTGTGGTGACCTCATCCACATCAGCAGGAGTTGGGGGAAGTCTACTTCCTGCCGTCATGTCCTCATCATAACCCAGTGGCTGATAGCTAAAGTTTGGTCTGGATCTGGGTATTTACTGGATAACAACATCTGAGCGGATCACCGGCTTGGTCTATTTGCTGGAAACGTGGGTGGGTGTGTGTGTGTGTGTGTGTGCGTGTGCACGTTCACCCACCGGTCAGGTTGCTCAGCAGCAGCTGTCTCATCCCACCCGTGACGGACGAATTGTCCTTGTTGTAGTTGGACAACACCAGAAGGGCGAAGCGACCCTCGTAGAGGCTCTGACCTCGAATCAGCCTCAGGTTGACCAGAGGAACGGTCGGCGCTTCGTTC